GTATGTGCACAAAGATCCAGACACAAGCACTGATTGTAGAGGTGTAAAACAGTAAATAACAGTAACACCAATTAACAGGAGGCTGGTAAAATTATGGAACATCCACACTACAGAATACTATAGTCACCTGGCTGGGCACAGTGGCTCGTGCCTGTAATCCCAGCACTTTGGGAGGCTGAGGCAGGAGAATCACTTGAGGTCAGGAGTTCAAGACCAGCCTGAGCACCATGGTGAAACTCCGTCTATACTAAAAATACAAAAAATTAGCCTGGTGTGGTGGCACATGCCTGTAATCCCAGCTACCTGGGAGAGTGACATGGGAGAATCGCTTGAACCAGGAGGCAGAGGTTGCAGTGGGCTGAGTTGGCACCACTGCACTCTTGTCTGGGCCACAAAGCAAGACTCTGCCTCAGAAAAAAACCCAAAAATCTATACAGCCATTTAAAAGACTAAGGGAAATCTATGGGTACACACTGTATACATCAACATGTAAAGACTACTAAGATATTTAAATAGCCAAACATCATTAAGTGAAAAATGTATGATGATAACATATGCAATATGCTCTCACTATGTTATAAAAAAATTACGTATGCACAGCAAAGACTGTATACTACTTAAAAGTACCGAAGGAATTTCACTTTCAGCATACACGTCAGTTACATACTACTTAATGTTTTTAATGAACTATAGTTTCGTAATTTTTCTCATCACTTTATCAATTTAGTCTCTCTCTCAGGCTGCATCCGAGAGCCACACTTTTAAATTCTTTGTATCTTTACACTTTAGGAACAAACCAGAGCATGGCTGAATCTCCAACTCCTTATGCTAACTGAAGCAAGCCAGACTCCAAGCCCACACGTGACTTTCTGTAAAAGGCAGAGCAGGACTAAGGAACAGACAGGTGGCTGCAGGAGCAGGGAGAAGGAGAGAGGCTGCCTTCCTGAGTATCCTGACAGCGGTGGTAGTCACTGCAGTCCACACATCTGTTAAAGCTCCCTGAACTAACTGCACACCAAAAGGTGAATCTTACTATATGTAAATTTTAAAGTAAATTTAAACACACACACAAACTTAGGGGATACAATTTCTTTGCGTGTGGCACACAGACACTTGTCTTAATGCAGGACTCCAAGGCGTGTCGATTGCAGGGACCCTACCAGTGCACACCTGCCACGGCCTGCGCCCACCCACAACATGATTCGTTCTTCCAGGCTCTGTGCCTGTGGGTCTAGACTTCACATGGAAAGCACTGGCTAGCGCAGGCAAAGGGAAGCACACGTGGGGCCCTGCAGGTCCTGGCCTGGCCGGGGCTCTGTTGCAGCCACCAAGTTGTCAGGCACAGCAACGGGCACCCGCACAGGCAGCTCTGGCCATGCCTCATCCCGGAGCCCACCCAATGACTCCAGGAAATTCCGCCGCTCCCAGCGTGGCCACAGTGCCCTCTGCTGCCAGAAAATAAACGCTCCAAGCCTCAGTCCCCAGGGGGTCCGCGCGGCATTGGGTGCTGGGCTTCATCCGCAGCCGCTCCATGAATGGACTTCACAGCGGTGTAGGCACTGTCCCAATGTCCCTCTCGGCTTCAAAAAAAAAAAAAAAAAAAAAACGCTCCTTCAACCCCACTTCCCAATTATGCTTTCCCCCTTCTAGTCACAATGTAGTGCAAACGAAGCTCACGCATTTCAGGCTGAAAATACACAATTCAGAAGACTCCTGTGAAACAGCGCTGCTCCCAAAACAATCGCGCCTCCTCAACAAAGCCCAAAACTCCTCTCTCCAAGAATGCACAGAACAGTCCCACGGACCAGGCTCCCTCAGGTCCTCAGGGGGCACAAAACACAAATGGGTTCAAATCCCGCTGTGCAAGCTTAGGGCAACACTGGCAATCTGCCTGCCCCTTACTTTCCAACAAAAAACCGTGAAATATGGAGGTGTCCCTTCCCCACAGGAGCCGTGCCACGTGCCAGGAGTGGGATCCAGGTGCTGGGCAGCAAGTGCGGGGGAGGGGAGCTCGGAGCTGAGGCTGACAGGCCGGGGTGCAGGGCCCAGAGGGAGCGGTTTAGGGGGTGAAGGGTACTGGAGCCCGATGGGCACAGTTTAGGGGTGGGGGAACCTGGAGCCCGGGGGGTGCGATTTAGGGGTGGGGGGACATGGAACCTGCAGCCGGGAGCTGGGGATGCTAGGACCAGGGCAATCCTGGAGGCTGTGCTGCCCGGGGGCTCAGTCCTGGCCCCGCTACCCTGGCTGGCCCAGGTTCCGAGGGCTACCCGGACCCCACGGAGGCCGCAGGGCAGGCGCGGGCATGCGGGGTTCCTTACCTGGGTCCACAGCAGCTTCAGTGTCCGGGTGAGGCCCGGGAGTTTTCTTGGCCGAGTGAGTCAGTCAGGTGGGCAGGGAATGTGCCAGGAAACGCTTGGCCTCCTCTCCTTCCTCCCAGGGCGGGGGTTCTCCCGGCCCAGCCCCTTCCTCCTCCCTCCCGGCCATGGACCTGCCCCACCCCACCCTGGCATCTGCCACTCCCTCCTCCCACGGGCCTTACCCCTGGGTGGCCCGCCACCACTGCACTGCCACCACCCACCCCACCAAAGCCAGGCTACTGTTCTTTTGTTTTGGGACAGTCTTGCTCTGCTGCCCAGGCTGGAGCATAGTGGCATCATCTTGGGTCACTACAACCTCCGCCTTCTGGGTTCCAGTTACTCTTGTGCCTCAGCCTCCCAAGTATCTGGGATTATAGGCATGTGCCACCACATCCAGCTTACTTTTATATTTTTGGTGGAGACAGGGTTTTGCTATATTGGCCAGGGTGGTCTCAAACTCCTGGCCTCAAGTGATCCACCTGCCTTGGCATCCCAAAGTGCTGGGATTACAGGCGTGAGCCATCATGTCTGGCCGGTTGTGCCACTGTTGCCACAAACTCCCTCGGTGTAGGTCACTGAGGTACTTGGAAACATCACTGAAGTGGATTACAACTGTAGAAAGTACATGGAGACTGCACTACCGCATTAATCAAGAACCAAGGCCAATGCATTCCACTGAACCAACACTTCAAGACCCATTCATATGAATAACTCTTTCCCTACAAAACGTACTCCATAAAACTGGAAAAGGTGACTTTCCCACCAGATGTGTGGAAATCAATGTAGAATACATCAAACATGAAAAAACAAAGAAACACGACACCTCCCAAGGAAAACAATAACTCTCCAGTAAGAGACTACAATAAGGAAATACAGGAAATGACAGAAAAATAATTCAGAATGAAAATCTTAAGGAAATTCAGTGATACACAATAGAGTACAAATAAACATTCAACAAAATCAGGAAAAGAATGTTTTGAATGAGAAATTCAACAAAAGTAGGTATTTAACAAATAAGCAAATTTGACAGTGAAATAATTCAATGAATGAGGCCAGGCACGGTGGCTCATGCTTGTAATCCCAGCACTCTGGGAGGCCAAGATGGGCAGATCACCTGAGGTCAGGAGTTCGGATTAGCCTGGCTAACATGGTGAAACCCTGTCTCTACTAAAAACACAGAAAATTAGCTGGACTTGGTGGCGGGTGTCTATAATCCCAGCTACTCAGGAGGCTGAGGCAGGAGAGTCACTTAAGCCAGGGAGGCAGAGCTTGCAGTGAGCCAAGATCACACCACTGCACTCCAGCCTGGATGATGGGACTGAAATCCTGTCTCAAAAAAAAAAAAAAAAAAAAGGCAAATGATCCGAACAGACATTTCTCCAAAGTCATACAAATGGCCAATGAATAGATGAAAAAATGCTCAGCATCACTAATTACTAGGGAAAATGCAAGTAAAACCACAATGAGGTATCATTTCAGCCCAGTCATGATGGCTATTTATCACAAAGACAAAAAATAACAAACGCTGGTGAGGATGTGGAGAAAAAAGAACTCTGACACAATGTTGATGGGAATATAAGCTACCGGAGACACTATGGAGAACAGTTTGAAGGTTCCTCAAAAAACTACAAATAGAACTACTATCTGATATAGTAATCCCACTGGTGGGCATTTACCCAAAGGAAAGAAATCAGGATACCAAAGAGATATCTGTACCCCCATGTTTACTGCAGCACTATTCACACAGCCAAGATATAGAATCAACCTACGTGTCCAACAACAGATGAATGGGTAAAGAAGCTGTGGTACACACATACACACAAACTCAGAGATAAAAAAGAATGAATCCTGTCGTTTGCAGCAACACTGATGGAAATGGTGAACATTATGTGAAGTGAAATAAGCCAAGAACAGGAAGTTAAACACTGCATATGTTTTCACTCATATGTGGTAGCTAAAAAATGTTTATCTCATGTTAGTAAAAAGAACAGGATACTAGATGCTGCATTTTGCAGGGGGAAGGGAGGAAGATATTTGTTAAAGGATACAAATAGCTAGCTGGAAGGAATAAGTTCTACTGTTCTGTATCACTATGGGATGCCTACAGTTAATAATATAGAGTTGCACATAGCTAAGAGGATACTCAATGTTCCCAACATAAAGAAGTAATAAATGTTTGAGGTGATGGAAATGCTAATTATCCTGATCTGATCACTATAACTGTATCAAAAACTACTATGTACTCCACGAATATGTACAATTATTATGTCAGTTTATAAAAACAATAAAAGAAAACAAATGGCTGGGAATTATTTTTTAAAGTTCCAGTCCTAAGGAATCTGGAGTGAGGAAAATGAATGTGGAACTTATTGTCACTGTCTTTTTAAACACAGTACTAAAAGTTTTCAATAAGACAATCTTTTTAAAAATCAAGAGCAACATGATTATTAATTCTATCACGATTGATAATTATCACTGAAATAAGAGGGTGTGATGACTTGCAAACTACAAAATAATCAAGTATCAGGATGACAAGAGGGAGTAGGGTCAGATGTCCCAACATCGAGGAAGACACGGGAACATGGAACAGCTACCTCTGGCTGCGGCCTGGCAGGTGGTGTTCTCTGTACACTGCAGGTTCTTCAGCAACTGCATGGACTTGTCAGCCATTATGATCTGCTCCAGGACAGGTTTGAGGAAGGACGCCATGGTGTGATGCCTGCTGGAGGGCCCCTGGTCACTGCCGGAACTCGCACTCGCATTATCACTCATTTTTTCTTCACTTTCTGTCTTGTCTGACACGCTGTATAACGTGTAAGTTGCATACCCGAAGTCTGTGATTAACTGGAGCATTTTTGTTTCTAAAGAGATTCAAAATAATTTTAAACTTTAACTTTTCTTCCTTAAAAGTAGTATACTTGCTCTAGTTTGTTGTCCAGGCATTATAAAACATAATAATATTAATTATTAGTAAACTGAAACAATCTTTAGGCAAATGGGGCATTTTTAATCTGATCTCAGTTTAAAGAGAAAAGTGAATAAATACTTTCAACCGTATAGGTAAAATTTAGGTAAGTAGAAACAGTTTCCTGAATTGGAATTATTTAAAATATGACTAATTTGGTCCTCTTTAGAAGTAGAATAAAAGTTTTTCCCAATTACTGTCTCCTGTGAAACTAATCTGCAGACTTCACTACCATTTCCCTAACAAGTTTCTCAAGTGGACAACTTTTAAAAATAAAATGATGGTCAATCATCACCCTACAAGAACAGTAAGAGTCCCATTTTTCACAGAAATTCTCATTTGAGACTGATGAATCAGGACACAGTGACAGACAAGAGACTACACTGAAGGGAGGTCAGTTCACTTATGTGAGCATCACATACATATTGCTATGCTTCCCAAACAGTAAGGACTTAAAGTTACCCTTCCTGATGTGTTCAATGGATAGCTATCAATAGAAACCACACATCTAAATACAGCACATCATTTAAAATTGGGTTAAAAGAGTACAAATAGCTCTACATTACAGTTTATATGATTCTGTTCAGAAAAATCAAATAACTGAAGGGAAATTTTCATAAATGGATTAAAATTTTTCTTAATTGTTTTATTAAATATTATACTAAGGTACTGGTTGAATTCATTCACTTCAGAGAACAGTAAAAAAATTATAGTAAGGTAAAAGAAATGAGTAGCTAATTCTGAGAAATCAATTACAGGCATACTCTGTAGTACTTCTGTATCTCTTTACTGATATATTACACTGGAAATAGCGGAAACCATCTGGTATCACCTAAACTCATTTTATGGGAAGCAGTGTATACTAGCTAGCCATAAATACACTATCATCCAAAAATATGATTTGCTTAAAAGTTGTGAACTGACAAAACCTGGACAAAGACATTAATAATAGGCTAGTATTAGCCTTCCATATAAATGAAATAGAACTAGCCTACGCTGACAAGTTCTGTGATGTGGACTGTACTTTCTTAGTACCTTTGAAACTAACGAAAGATTTGATTTTCATGGGCAGCAAACTGGTGATGCCAGCCCCCAGCGACCTTGTGCTCTGCTGCCGCTCACCTCTGGATGATCAACTCCCTGGTGTCGTCCCACAGGTGCCCATGCACGATCTACTCATCCACTGTCTGCAGGTAAGGCCACACCATTTCCACCCAGGGAGAGAACAGGAGGGAGACCTGAGGCAGAGAGTGTGCACAGTCAGCTCTCAGGGCTCCCTGGCCACTAGAACAAAAGGAGGTTTAAACATTTCTGAAATGCCTTGAAATTTAAAAATCCCAAAACATATGCTATAAAATCCTTACAAAAAACTCACCCAAGTATGGAAGGATCATATTGTTTGCAGTCCAGACTGGGAAACTTAAGAGTGAAAATGACACAGAGGCAGGTGTGCCCTGAGACAGCCCTGGCAGGTGAGAAAGGTTTCCCTATTTAAATTGTACTACTAGCAAGGTGTCTATTAAGAGTGAGAAAATTACTTAATTCCAGTAGCTCTCAGAGGACAAAAAATGGCACTACTGAGAGAAAATCAATCTTTTTTATATTGAAATGCAATATTAAATTGGTGACCAAAAAAAGTTATACCAACAAACTGGAAAATACACCTAATATACATACCCAAATAAAACTGTAGCATTCTGAATTACAGCCTCTAGATAGATTTTTTTAATCTCTATATTGTTTGAGACAGGGTCTTGCTGTCACCCAAGCTGAAGTGCAGTGGTGCAAACACGGCTCACTGGAGCCTCGACCTTCCACACTCAAGCAATCTTCCTGCCTCAGCCTCTCGAGTTCCTGGGATCACAGGCATGGCTATTACTCCACAGCTCACTACTTTTTTTTGAGACAGACTGTCGCTCTATCACCCAGGCTGGAGTATAGTGGTATGATCTCAGCTCACTGCAACCTCCTAGGTTCAAGTGGTTCCCCTGTCTCAGCCTCCTGAGTAGCTGCGACTATAGGTGTTCACCACTATACTCAGCTAATTTTTGTATTTTTAATAGAGATAGGGTTTCACCATGTTGGCCAGGCTGGTCTCAAATTCCTGGCATCAGCACACCTGGCTACTTCTAAAATTTTTTGTAGAGACAGGGTCTTAGTATGCTGCCCAGGCTGGTCTAAAATTCCTGGGATCATGTGATCCTCTCACCTCAGACTCCTAAGTAGCTGGGACTACAGGTGTGAGCCACTATGCCTGACCTAGATTTGTATTTTTTAAATACAATATAAAATATATAACATAAAATTTATCATCTTGCCTATCTGTTTCTTTCTCAAATTTTAATTTAACTTATATTTTTAAAGACAGGGTCTCGCTATATTGGCCAGGCAAATCTCAAACTCCTGGGCTTAAGCAGTCGTCCCTTAGCCTCACAAAGTGTTGGGATTATAGGCATGAGCCACTGTGCCCCGCCCTTGCCATTTTTAAGTTCAGGGGTTTTAAGTACATTCACAGCATTGTGACAAATCTCCACAACTTTTTCATGTCATAAAACTGAAATTCTGTACCCATTAAATAACAGCTCCCTATTCCCCAATCCTTGGTAACCACCATTCCACTTTGTTTCTGTGAATGTGACTACTTCAGATACTTCATGTAATAGACTTAGTTTTTATGTAAAAAAGCATTATTGTAAATGTCTATATACATCATCTAGGTATTTCTCACATGTTGCTTTGCCCTTGCCTCATCGTTCAGAGGATCTTGGTAATTAGAGCTGAAAAGCTAGTTTCCTACAGCCTCAAATTTGGAAGCTAATTTGAAAACTGAACTGTCTGACAAGTCACCATTCGATATCAGTTAACACAGAACCATGACCAGCTGTCTCCTACCCCTCTGCTGTGCAGAATGGAGTCACACGCTTTAGGCAGAAGTCTCACATACGGTTTGCTCAGAGGCCTCTCCAACATTGTCATATTCGAGAATGGCCTTGTACAGGGTGTTGCGCAGGTGAGAGGCCCAGACATTTTGAGTATCAGGTGGAACTTCTGCTACTCTGGTACTGAACACTCTGTGCGAACCTTGAGCTGAGCCAATCGAGGTGACAACTTGTCCACCACTATCCCAAGAGTTATTGCAGCATCTGCAAATATCAACAAATCAAACTCAATAGCAAGGAAAAATACATGCATCTAAAATGTGACATAAATGCTGGCAAATCATCAGGTTTATGGGCAGGCAGGGGAAAATGAAGGATGGTGGATTTTGATCTCACATCACAAGGACCTAACTTCCCTAAGGAAGAACTCCTGCAAGTCATGGAGAAAAAGATAACTCAGCAGAAAAATAATATACAAAGGAACTGACAGTTCACAAAAAAGGAAAGATGAATAGTTCTAAAACAAATAGAAAGTCACTCGACCTTACTTACAATAAAAGAATGCAAATTACAATTATACTAGGTAAAACAAAACACCTCCCCCATAGGCCAATGTTAGTGCGGGAGGCTGTGCCTACAGAGGGCTGCACAAGCTCCTGTGAGGCGATGGCACAGCTGGGACCTCAACATGGAAGTCACCATGTGGAGCCAGACATGTAATAAAACGGCTTGGAACTATACAAGAAGATACTACACCCACCCCTGCTCAAAGCAAGTTCCTGCAACACTGGTAAACTGTGTCAGGTCTGCAGCTTGGCTATGGGCTGTGCCAGTGTCAGTTTCCCAGTTTTGATCATATACTATAACTATGTGAGGTTTTGCCACTGGGGGACGTAAAGTAATGGGAACACAGGATCTCTCTGTATTATTTTCTGTGGTACAGCTAGTGCTCAACTTACGACCATGATTGGTTCCAACAGACCGGTCGTAACACGATTTGGTCGTAAGTTGAGTAGGCCATATGCACGCGGAGATGGTAATGCTGCCAGAAGCTGGTCCGCACTGTCGTACGCCCAGCTGGGCAACATTTGCACTGCCAGACGCGGAGCAGTCGTGGCTAGGAATAGTGGTCGTAAAGTTGAATGGTCATAAGTCAACCAATACCTGTCAAATCTTATACAATGAAAAATCTAAGTGGCATTCTAATTATAAGTTATGTGTAGTATGAGTAAAACTGAAGAACATTTAATACCATTATTGATGATGCACTTCTCAATTTCTGCAAGTTGCTCTTTGAAACCAATGAAGTATTTGTACAGGGCTCACATGAAAGCCTGGTAGGTTCTAAAGGGAGCTTCAGGTGACTTCTTAGGAACAGACCCACTTCCAGGCAGCATGCTTTTGGAACTGTGTCCCATGACTTCATCAATGAACTCCTGGAGTCAAAATACAACCTGGCCATAAGCTGCTATTTGTTCCACCACAGATCGTTAACAGCTCTATGACAGAGCAAACTGCAATTATTCAAAGGTGATCTTCTGTAAACATTCAAATTCATTTCCCTCTCACTGTAAAATATTTCTTTTACAATTCTTTTAAACTATGTTTAGAAGACAGTCATAAAATGATGCATAGTTTTATACACAAAGGAAAAAGAGTGAGCATTAATTTCAATAGACTAGAGAATTACGGCTTGTGTTTTTTAAAAATATACATGAGGTAATCTACTTAAGGCAAAAAAAATTACAGTATATAGCTTTCACAATACAGAATGACAGATCTAAACAGCAGAAAATGCAAACTGAAATTAAATATGTCCCAAACAATATTAAGGAATTCTCTTAAGTACTGTAAAGATGCACAACTCAATTTTTCTTTTGGATATTAAATATTTATTTATTTATTTTTGAGATGGAGTCTTGCTCTGTCGCCCAAGCTAGAGTGCAGTGGCGTGATCTCAGCTCACTGCAACCTCTGCCTCCCAGGTTCAAGTGATTGTCTTGCCTCAGCCTCCTGAGTAGCTGGGATTACAGGTGCTTGCCACTGCACCTGGCTAATTTTTATATTTTTTAGTAGAGACAGGGTTTCACTATCTTGGCCAGGCTGGTCTCAAATTCCTGACCTCACAATCTACCCACCTCAGCCTCCCAAAGTGCTGGGATTACAGGCGTGACTGTGCCTGGCCTGGATATTAAATAATTTTAAATTAATCTTTTTTTGCATAAGGAAGCACAAATGAGTTCAATTATAGTTAATTTTAA